GCCTATGATAATTNTAAGGAGTAGAAGTAAAAAGTCGCCATAAAAATAAGTAGTAAAGTAAAGTAAAAATATCAGAAAAATCTACTTGAGTACAGTAACAAAGTATTTGTACTTCGTTACTTCCCATCTCTGGCTATAGATACCATAAAAAAAGGTGCCACATTCAAATTTAGAGTTATTTACACTCTAAATAGCTGTATTTATCTCCATCTAATCCTCCTAAAAGTAGCTTGATCCTAACAGGGCAAAAGCCAGACTGATACTGTGAAAAAGTCAGATTGAGCTACACGGATTGATGAGGGAAGGTTCCTGAGGAAACTGTTCACAAATGGGAGGGACAGTCAGTAAAATTCTTTAAGCTGACTGGGTATCTGCCTCCTACATCAGGTTTTTAGCCCATCACAGCAGCAGTAGCAGCTTGATTTGTGTTGGGAAGTTTACCAGAAGATTATAAATGTATTACATAACTAGAACTTGAAGATATAGCTAATTAATAGGTCATTCAAATTGAGGATAAAACTATGCATTTTTCATCCATCCACTTTCTGACACGCTTATCCCCAAAAGTGATCGCAAGGGGTGCTGATGCCTATCTCCAGACATCTACAAGGTGTGTACCAGGTACACCCTGGACAGATCACCGGTCCTTCGCAGACAAACAGGACAAACAACAATTCAAGTGCACAATCACACCAGGGAGAAGTTAGAGAGGCCAATTAAACTAACAGTCATGTTTTTGCAGTGTGGGAGGAAGCCAGAGTACCTGGAGACAACCCATGTGTGCTCAGAGAGAACATGCAAACTCCATGCAGAAAGAGCCCAGGCTGGGAATTGAACCCACAACCTTCTTGTTGTAAGGCAGCAGTCCTCCCACTGTTCCACTAAGTAGCAGGTTAAAGTCAATTGATGGCTTTACCCTGGAACGGGTCAAATGTTGGGTCAAGTCTGGAGACGATGTGTTCTTTTACCAGCCTTTCGAAGTGCTTGATCATGATTGGAGTCAGTACACCTGCCCAGATATGTTGTCGGGGCCTGGGGCCTTTCTTTGGGTTCACTCCCTTCAGAATATTATCATATCTAGTATTTACACATACACTAAACAGTGCTGGCACAAGTAAATCAAGCAAATAAAAAGGGGGAAAATGGGTTTAGAATCCATTCAAGAGTCTCTGAGGAATGTTGAAGTTTTAAAGCTAAATTCATTTGTGGTGTTTAACATAGCAGCAGATAAATGTGCAGACCCCCTGATGCAGAGATGTAAAATTAGGGTGACCATATTTTCATTTTGAAAAACCAGGACACCTTGGAGCGGGGGGGCGGCAGCGGGGGATCTCTGTTCCCATGCATAGGCCTAGGTAATCCTACAATAACATGATATTAACAGTTG